ATTTAGCATTTCTGCTACTTTTAGCCTCTAGTTAGCCTTTTGATACATTTATCTTTGAACCAGACTTAAGAAATGTTTAGCATTTAGCTGTTATTAAGCTGCTTTTAGCTTCTACTAGCCTTTTAAAACATATATCTTTGAACCAGGCTTAAGAAACATTGAGCACTTAGCTACTATTCTGCTACTTTTAGCTCCTAGTTAGCCTTTTGACACATGTATCTTTGAACCAGGCTTAAGAAACATTGAGCACTTAGCTGCTATTCAGCTACTTTTAGTGTCTAGTTAGCCTTTTGATACATGTATCTTTGAATCAGACATTTGAAATGTTTATTTTAGCTACCATTAATCTRCTTTTAGCCTTTAGTTAGCCTTTTGATATACCAGACTTAAGAAACATTTAGCATTTCTGCTACTTTTAGCCTCTAGTTAGTCTTTTGATACATGTATCTTTGAACCAGGCTTTTGAGCACTTAGCTACTATTCTGCTACTTTTAGCCTCTAGTTAGCCTTTTGATACATGTATCTTTGAACCAGGCTTAAGAAACATTGAGCACTTCGCTACTATTCTGCTACTTTTAGCTCCTAGTTAGCTTTTTCATTTATCTTTGAGCCAGACTTTAGAATTTTTTAGCTTCTAGCTACTATTATGCTTTTTTATTATTAGCCTTTTGATACATAAATTTTGGAAACTTTAGCTATCCTTTTGCTATTTTTAGCTAGTTGTTTGCAACTTTTAGTTAGTGTTCAGCTCTTAAAGTCATAGCACACAAAGATTAATATTTTTTCAACAACACATGAGAGAAAGGATAAATAAGAAACTAGCAGGACAGTTCGGGTGTTTTGCTGCTGATGTTTCGGCGTGTTTAATAAAACTTCGGCTCTCTACACGTCCACTCTGGATGAAAGCAGCAGTTTAAACTCAGACATTGACCCCTGAAGGAGGAACAGTCATGGTTTACTCAGGGTGTGTTGTTGTCATTTTACTGACTCAGATGTTACAACATTACAGAGAAGTGCCACTAAAGAAAAGGGACGAGTTTTATGACCTTCAAATCAACATTTCATGATCTCCTGGTTCCTCCTGGAGACCGACGTCATCACTCTGCTCCTCGTTCAGACTCAGTCCTGGCTTTAGTGCAAATAAACATATCTGCAGGGGAAATGTGTTTTTCATTATCATAATAAAGTTTTTGGGACAAACGGCACGGTTACTTCACCTTTCTTCAACTTTGACTCGATGATTTCACAGAATGAATCAGAACTCTGTGGTTCCTGAAAGTGAAGAGAGACGTTTAAAAAATGCTGAAACAGCAAAATGACACATTTATCTAACTGTGAAGAAAGCCACAGTTAGATGCATTTAAAAATGCATGTTTTTCCAAGGATTCTGGTGCAAACACCCACTTCGGATGTTATCAGTCCATTAAATGGACGTTATTAAGCATTATAAGCCCCCTAGAACGGCTTCAGACTGTCTAATTAAGGTTGGTGCATTAATCAGTCAAAAATATAAAAGTTTTTGAGGATATTTAACTCTTAATAACAACAATGTAACATTTCCTTTGAAAAAATGACATCAAAAATTATCTTAAAGCCTGGTTTTCTCTCAGTTTGACCTTTTAAACTCACTGAAAACAGAACATTAGCTGTCGTTAAATGAAATAAAACAGGTCAAGTGTTTCTAAATAATAGGGTGAAACAGGAGTCAGAGTCCTGCATGACGTCATTTGATGATAACATTTTTTTATCTGAATGAAATAGCTGAATATTTACACAGAAAAGTTCCTCAAGGAAATTAGTGAGAATTTCATGATATTTGGAGAGTGACGTTCTTATCTAACGGAAGTACGCGCCCACACACACTCCAGCACTACAACTTGAAGTTTTCCTCCTRACCTTTCACTCTGGAGGATCAGCGCTCCGTGCAGAAGCATGGCTCCGTCTAATTGCTGGATTTTGTGCGCCGTCTCGCTCGCCTGCCTCCTTTGCTGTGGCTCTTGCAGAAGAGGTAAAGGTAAGATGATTCAAAGGTCGAGAGGGTCGCTTTGTGTTTGTTTGGCTTTTGAGAGCTCACGTCTCCTCTGAGGTCCTGCGCGCAGACTTTTATCCCCGGAACTTTGTGCGTAAAATGGAGCCGCGCGTCCTGCGCGGCTCCATTTTACGCACAAAGTTCCGGGGATAAAATGGAGCCAAGCGTACTGCGCTCACAGACAGAATCAAACCTAATAAATGCTTTGAGTTTCATCATTTCTACATCCATTATTTCAGACCTGGTGTGAATTACTGGGATCTCCTAAGGGAATAAAACATTAATCTGTTTTTACGCGCCAAAACGCGACAAGTTTGATCAAAAACTCGTTTATAATCAATGTTCCTTCAGTTTTAATAAACCTGAACGTCCTGCTCGATGACAACAACAGTTTGCATKGACTCAGAAGCTGTTAAAGGTCTGATTGGCGTCAGAAATGTGACGTTTTGGGGTCAAAGTCCTGCGGATCCACCTGAACCACCTCCTGGTTGCTCAGCCAGTGGCGGAGCCAGAGATTTTTCTCAGGGGTGCCCAGATGGGGACCACCACTCACACAGGGGTGGCTAGGAAAATTACATAATTTTTTTTACGTGAAAGTTTGTAAATGTCCTTTACATGTCCTTAAACAGGCAATGACTACCTATAAGCATGTCAGAACCATTTCAAAACAGTTGAGGGGGTCTGTGGGACCGCCCCCAGAAATTTTTTGAATGAAATAGATGCAATTTCCTGCATTTTGGTGTATTTTACCTACATAAATAAACACTTGATTTAATAATAATTTCAGACTAACTCCATCATCCTGATTTTAAACTCACAGCTACAGCTGAGATAAGGTTAATTAATGTGTCACAATTTATCATATCTAATGACTTTAGGGGTGCTTTTTACTTTTATATTGTTTATTGA